TAAACAAAACTTGCTGTCTGCTGTGGAAATATGCACAGCCTACTGTATTTATTTATTTATTTATTTTTGATGACTGAGAGCCGATATAGAGAACCAGCACATGCTGAAAGAACAAACAGTGTGTCTGTGCGTTGCTGATTGACCGTTACTGTACTGCTTTTCTATTTTCGTAATCATTGTTAGGTAGCATTTCTTGACACAAGATGTATTAGTCAGTGTTTGGGAAGTTCTAGTATGATGTCTAGAACAGAAGAGTTGAAAATAAACAGAAATGCTCCCTTGCTATTGTTCTAATCACTCTAATAGAATCACATGACGCTGATGAAGAAAAGACGCGATGCTACATTCTGTCTGTTTTCTCAGGCTGCACAAGTAGCAATGAGCTGTCACTGACTCACTCTTGTATTTCACATCCTGTGATGAAACGTGTCTAATCTTATGGGAGCAGTCTCTTCCAGGGTGGCAATGGTCTGATCTATAAGGCACAAGTCACCAAAAGGTTTGATGGATATAAAAATTATGTAAATTATAGGCACATTATGTGGAGTTTGACACCATTATCCACATCATCATTAAACCATAAGAGAATTGGCATTATGTACATTAGGTGGTGTGTGTGGGGGTTGGTTTGTCATTTCTTTTCCTTTCTTTTTTTTCAGCTTGCCCCCATGCTGGTAAATTTCTTTCTCTCACTTCCCCTAGAGAGGGAATCGCAGTCTCGCTAAATGTCAGGTGCTGAGATGAGTGTGAAAATGACATGTCTTCACAGTACAAGCAGCAGCTAACTCAATCTCCTTCCAGAATTAAACCTGCCACTCGTGTCAGGGTCTGCAGGGATTTTCCATTTGTCTGCGCATGTGAGTGTGTTCAATTGTTTGATTGTGTTGGAGCCAACGTGCAATAGGATGCGGAGAATAGAGGGACAGGCAGGTTTGTGCAGGAAAAGAGTAGATAAATGTGGTCGAGTCCCAAAGAAGTACGACATCTTGAGCTGGGTAACTAAGGTGATGTTACTACCGCGTGTCATTAATTCACAATTCATTCGCTGTAAAAGAAAAAAAAAAAGACTGCTCTCTCTTTGTATAATGTCTTTGGGGGTTACAACGCTTTTATCTAATTTACGAATATGTGCACAGGTCCAGATCCAGACGCCACCATGTCGAGCAAACGTGCCAAGGGAAAGACCACCAAGAAGCGCCCGCAGAGAGCCACCTCCAATGTCTTTGCTATGTTTGATCAGTCTCAGATTCAGGAGTTTAAAGAGGCGTTCAACATGATCGACCAGAACAGAGATGGTTTCATCGACAAGGAAGATCTGCATGACATGTTGGCCTCTCTGGGTAAACAGTGTTACATTTATAGACGTGACAAAATATATACTACTAAACAGGTCACATTTTACTTGTAAGAGGAACTTCCCTTAGGAATTGAGGGCATTGTTTTTTCCACATTATAAAACTGGAGGATTAGCAAAACTGCAGTTCTGGTGATTGCCAGAGATGATGGTGATGATGGTGATGATGTTGTCAGGGTTATTTCTGTTTTCCAAGTTTAGGCAGGGAGATCAGAAAGAGAGTGAAAAATTAGGGAATCAGAAAAATGTTTTCCAAGTGTGTGGAAGTTCAGCGCCAAAGTACTGGAACAGCCCTTTTAATACATATATATTAAGATATAAGACTGAGGCTTTAGCTAGTCAAATGTGCCTTTTTAATTAAAAAATAAATATGTTAAATAATCCCAAAATGAAGTGTAACATAGTAACTGTAACAGAGATCAAATACTTAAAACTGGTTCTAAATGCATTAGTTCTGACACAGTTTTGGTTACTGCAGTGTGATCGAGTCCAGTGCTTCGTCAAAAGAAATCAAATAGTAGCTGCACACTTTGCACTGCAGTACAGAACCAGTGCAAATGAGATGCATGGTAATCTGGGATCAGTCCATACTCTGTTAAGTTTAATAAGAAGTGCAAGTATGACAAGGTTGCCAACTGTACTATATTCAGAGATGGGCAGTAACGCGTTACTGTAATCCGATTACTTTTTTCAAGTAACGAGTATAGTAAGGGATTACTATTGCAAAAACGGTAATTAGATTACCGTTACTTTCCCGTAGGAACGCTGCGTTACTGCGTTACTAAAACCGTGAATCTTTTTGCCAGAATGTCTCATGACAGTGACGTAAGCGAGTGCTACGTTAGTGGCAACAGCTGTGTGCAGATCAACAATGGATCAAATATCAAGTGCGGGAGAGAGTATGAGCGTGCAGCGTTTAAAGCGTGGAAGTACTGACCTTACTTTGAGTTTGATTCCATAAAAAGTGACAAAAACATTAGTGTCCATCGTGCGTGGGAAGAAAACTTCTTTTTACAGCGAAAAAAACCCCTAAACTTCCAAGCAAGCACCGAGTGCGCTATGACGTAATGGGAAACTCACAGAGAAACTCGCGGATTCTTCCACTGACCGCTGCGGCACACCTGCACCAGGGTAAACCTCCGCCTACCGCACTCCTGCTTTACAGGTGAAAATAGAGCAAAAGGACCGCTAGTCTTTGATTTTATTTATTTACTGCTGTGTTTTACTTGCATCTATTTGAAAGACTGAGTGTAAACACAAAAAATATTTTATTTTATGTGCCGGAATGTGCAGAAAATAGATTTAAATGTTAAACTAATTTATTCAAGTAAGAGAATGTTGCATATAATTAAATGTTTTCTTGATGCATGAAGTTAAATACGGAGCCCCGCAGGGGACATGGGAGAAAAAAAATTAAGACGGACTTTTGCGAGATCTCGCAAAACTTTTAGCCGCATTCTTCGGATGGCGGCTCGAAGCCGACCGGGAGGTTGAGGCACGATGTGCCGGGAAAGCGGTGTTCCTCCCGGCTGTAGTAGGTCTCGACCTCCCGTTAAATTTTAAAAAGAGACTTTTCCATTTGATTACATTTTATATGATGGATTATGTAGAAAAAGTAGAATTGGGCTGAAAGATCTATCGCTTTATCACCTATTCAGGTTGTAAATTGTGTTTTTAAAAAGTAACTAAGTAATTAATTACTTTTGAAAATAAGTAATCAGTAAAGTAACGGGATTACTTGTTTGGGGAAGTAATCAGTAATTAGTTACTGATTACTTTTTTCAAGTAACTTGACCAACACTGACTATATTAAAGACACTTTTGCGATTTTAGTCAATATACTTGTTAAATAGGATTTGCAACAGAAAGGAGATTCACATGGCTGAAAGTTGAATCAAATAATATACAGAAAACGTTGATTTTTAGAGGGGTGTTGAGGTGGAAGTCATTACCACTTCAAATTGTACATAAGAGTACGAAAGAATACTTGAAATATTTATTAAAACAGGATTACCAAAAGCAGGAAAATGTGCAATTAAAATGGATCTTGGGTTGAGTATGTAAGGACCACAACAAGAATAGCAAAGGCCTGTGATTCCAGGTAAACTAACTATAAGTGACACTTAAATGTTCATCCACACTTGCTGGTTTGGGCCGATTATTTCTTATTATCAGACAACAAGATGTTAATTCCTAGATGAGCGATGGATGCATGTGACGATATTCTTCCTCAGGTAAGAACCCTTCTGATGAATATCTGGAGGGGATGATGAGCGAAGCACCAGGGCCCATTAACTTCACCATGTTCCTTACCATGTTTGGAGAGAGGCTCAATGGAACAGACCCCGAGGATGTCATCCGCAATGCCTTTGCCTGCTTTGATGAGGAGGGATCTGGTGGGTCAATACGCATCTTGTACACACACGCACAAATCCCGTTTCACTCTGCCAGGGCTCGGATCATTAACTCCCCTCTCAATTCTCCACGTCCAAGGTGTGATCCACGAGGACCATTTGAGAGAGCTGCTGACCACCATGGGTGACCGCTTCACAGATGAAGAAGTGGACGAGCTATTTCGGGAGGCTCCCATCGACAAGAAGGGCAACTTCAACTATGCAGAGTTCACCCGCATCCTCAAACATGGCGCCAAAGACAAGGATGACGAGTAGAGGGAGAAAATGACTGCCTCTGGCCTCCCCCCTGCACACATGCTGCACTACAAATCCATCTGTAGCTCCTGTCTTTGTCAATCTTGCAGATTTGAAAGGAATTCATGTAGGACTGAAGTATATCTTTTATAAAATGGCAGAAATAAATTATTGTACATTTAAATACCTACATGTTTAACAAGGGTGGCATGTCTGAAGTAATTTGAGATCCACTTTTTTGTTTTTTACATTTAAACATCATTCCAGATGTTGCACCTGTCTTCATCCATATTGACTGCAGTTTTTCTGGCCTTTGTAGACAACATGATTGGATTTTGGAGATGCATTAAGCAGATCTGTGTATTTGTGCAGAGGCCATTTGACGTACTTCATACAATACCAGCCATGTTTACCTCTTCCTGCCAGTTAGCTACCACACCTGCGCAACTTGTCTCCTTTTCTGTCTAATATATATCCTTGTATGATGAAAACAGATTAAAGAAAAAAAAAACCTGACCTTTCATCATTTTTATTCGGTTTAGACAATCAAATGTGGTGCAAATATTTCCTGTAGTTGAAATGGTCACTAGGAATGGCAGTCAAAAGTGAGATCATCCTCCCGTCAGCTGGTTGTGTGTATTTGTTAAAGGATCGGGTATGTCTGTGTTGTTGAAGGAATTCAGTTTCGAAATTTCTCAGGCAAATAAAGTGAGTGGAGAGTGTGTTCGGCGTATTTTTAAAATATTGCACCATGCCTGCATTCAAACATTTCTAGCATTTCATGACAGTGCTTTTTTTCCTACAAAGCTGCAGTACAGTATTGTGCTTTACATAACTGCCAGATACTTAAATTGAGCTGGAATGCAACCAATAAATATTTACTTACAGCTACTTCATGTTGCAGCGTTAACTAAATAAGTACATATTCACTAACACATTTACTGACATGAATGGTTTTTGGTTGTTTTGTGTCTTTATCAGGGGTTTAAAGAGAATGGACCAGTTTTTAATAAATTTGATTAAAATGTAACACTTTTTTTCTCTGCTTGTTAGGCTGAGCCTTTGAGGTAGGACAGAAAGAAACATTGGATTCATTTTGAGAAATATGACATCCCAGCTATGTTTACATGACTTGCATATGAACAGAAACAAATATGCATGAGCTGTTGTATGTTGCAACCCCCCCACCCCTTTCTAGTTGCTTAAATTTTTAAATCTCATATCATAGACCAGAAGAAATCTAGGTGTCGGGTTGCTATTATAACATCTGGACAGTAAAATAAAGATTTTCCTCAACAGCAAATCAATTTGTCCCATTAAATTGGTCCAATTGTAATAAAACTTCTTGCCTCTGTATATAAAGACAAGTGCCACCATAAACCCTACAGAATCATATTTTTACTCGTTTAGATTAAAAACATATCTGGGAGTACATGTGCGCACGCACACACACACACACACACACACACACACACAGTAGTAGATGGGCTAAAATAAACATGCTATTTGAAAGCTGTTTCAAATAGATATTTTGTCATTTAAATTTTGTAATTTGCTAAAAGTAAAAAAAGAATGCTTCCTGTTTTTTTTGTTTGTTTTTTTAAACGAAACATCTCACAATGATAGACAGATTGCAAGTTAGAAACTTCGATATTTAAACCTTTAAAAGCAGCTTCAAAGGTTTTTAAATTTCTGAATTTTAGCCAAGATGTTTGAAGAAATCAAGGTCAACCCCACTACTGCACAGAAGGAACTCACAAGTGATCAATTTGCTTTCAGAAGCAAAACAAAGACAAATGAAACATTTATAAACAGTTTTGAAATTTTATTTCCTTGAAAGGCTCATACAAAAAAAAGAAAAAAAAAAAAGACAAGACATTTTAAATTTAAGGCATATATTGCACAGACTGTTTAAGTCTTTAATATAAAATGAGACATCTTAATCAGTTGTAGGTTTAAGGCACAACAGTCAGCCATACTACCAGCAGTCAGTTGCGAGTCACATGAAATTGAATGATCACGTTTTGAATGCATGTAGCTCTACAGAGGCCACACAGTTATAAAGCTTAAGTCAAAACATCAAAAAAAAAAGAAAAAAAAAAGAAAAGAAGAAAAAGCACATCATAGGAAACTTAATATAAAGCACTGCCATTAAACAAAAACGCCTTAGTCATCCATCCAGTATTACAACCATTAAGGTGTACTCACAGTGACATGATTTAGCATCAATGGAAAAAAAGAAAGAAAAAAAAAAAAGAAAGAAAGAAAGATTGCGTTTAATACTTAATATCCTTGACATGACCCAAGTCTGACATGACTTTTGTAAATTGAGGTATAAATGCACATCAGACAGAATACCTGAACAAAATAAAGCCTTAAAAAGAAAAATCTAAATCCTGAAATACAAGTGGCAGTGAGGAAAAAAACAAAAACAAAACAACAACAGTAAAATAAAAATGTATGACCATTTTCCCATGTTCATATCTGACAAGAGCAAGACAGGAAAGAAAAAAAAAATAAATTTTTTTTTTTTTTTTTCTAGGAATGATTGTGATGGTCGATGCTTGGCAGTATGACAACATTTACAACCCACACATTTATTTAAACAAAAACGCAGAATAAACCTAACCGTTTGAGCTAAACACAGCTCGGTAACACTGGTAAACATGATAGTATTGTAGATTAACTTTTGCTACAGCATTATTCTCATACAAATGTAACTTTCACACAAACACTGCTACTGTTAAAAGTTGAGATGGCATTTAGCCACAAATTGTGGTTCATCCTATTACAGTTTCATGGAAACTAAAACTTTATGATTAGAAAGTCTATAGAAACCATTTGTAAATAAAAGTGGAAATCACAGATGAGGAAATACTAGAACATTAAATATACAAAAAGTCAGCTACTGAGTGTGGTACATTTGCTTTGCAGAGAACCTATGTGCACAGAGAAATATCTGCTGAATAAAATGGGAACATAGAAACCATAAATATTATAAACCATAAAAGCACCATTTCTCTCACTAAACTGAATGCGTCGTGGAGTTGTGAGGGCTTCATGTTAACAGATGATTGCCTAGAAGAAAAACATGTTTTTGGCTAAATCACTATAATACTGATTTTAATTAAAACTACAGATATAACTGTAGAAAAAAAAAAAAAAGGGCAAAAAAAAAAAAAAAAAAAAAAAAAAAAGCATATACTTCGCAGAAAGTTGACACAACAAGTCACTCCCCTTTTAACTAAAACAACAGGAATACATTATGAAAGGGTCCGAGCTTGCTGCTGTAAAAATCAGTTTCTCTCATCCCAAAAAAATGAATAATAATAATAATAAAAATAAACACATTGCACTAAACTAAGAAGATGGTGATGTGAATATCAAAACAAAACCATGCCCTCATTTTTATCCTAGAGGGGAGTGGATGTTTCGCAGTCAGTGTCTTTTGTACATTCAATAAAATCCAGTACTGCTACTAAAGAGGCCAACTTTGCTGGTGGTGCCAATTACACCAAAAAGTGGGCGATCAATACATCCTGGTAAAAATGGTAAGAGGTTAAAAAACAAAACAAACATAGAAATTTTTTTTTGCATTTACGCTACAGGAATGTTCATTATGAAAGTGATTTAAGAAAACCCCCTTCTGTTGTCAAACAGCATAATAAACACAGTCTCTTTCCCATCTCTTTTTCTATTTTATAAGTACCATTATGTTGGTTACTTTACTTCATCCCAGTTTGCACATCTGATTAACTAATTCCCCGCTGCACATTCTACAGGCTCAGGTTTAAAAATCATATCAAAACGTACTGGTGATGAATAAAAAAAAAAAAAAAAAAAAAAAAAAAATAATAATAATACATTCTCCAATATAGTGTTGTCCATACTAAAATTAGTGTTTGGTCTACACAACTATATATATATTTTTTTTTAAAAGAGCTCCTAGTTGACAGTTTCACTCACCGGGTGCAGTGGGCCCCACACGGCACTAATGGGGGTTTTCCCCAGGGAGCGGCTTTGCCTGGTGACCATGCTCCAAACACGGGGCACAGAAGCTGAATTCCTCTGTGAACTACTGCTACTTGTGCTGGTACTGCTCGGGGACGTGGGCTGCTGGGAGGCGGTGTGCTGGGAACTGAGGCCAAGAGGAGGTGTGATGGATGCGGACTGGGGCGAAACTGAGGCAGCGGCTGAAACCTGGGCAGAGGCTGATGCTGGGCTTGTAACTGGGGCTTCAGAAGACATGACAGCTGAAGATGGCAGTGGGCATGCTACTGCAACTGGAGTTGAGGGGGACCTGGGACATGGCAGCTGAAGTGGTATTCCTCTGGTGGGTGGAACAACAGCTACATTTGTGGATAACTCCTGATTTGCAGAGACGGAAGATACATTTGTGACTGGCAGAAGGACTGGGGATGGCACTGAGCCCGGCACACTTGCAGGACATGTAGTGGACAACGGAGTTGCAACTGAGCTGAAGGCTAAAGCTGGTGAGGCTGGAGCAGCTACTGGTTTGTGAGGATCTTGCTGTTTTAAGACTAAGGCAGGTACTGGCATCATGGTTGGCAGATGGGCTGTAAGAAGTTGAGGCTGATCCTGCTCTGTGTGGCAAACGATGACTTTATTCATATGAAGAGGTGATATCCCTGGAGCTGAGAAAAAGACTGGAGCTGGGACTGGAAGAGATGCTTCTGTACTCGCAGGCACCGAATCCTTTCCCGAAGGCACATCTGATGCTGGAACGGTCATAGCTGTCTCCATTAGATGCTGCACCCTGGAAGGATCCAAGACTTGTTGGTTGTCTTCTGGAGGAGGTGTGAGGCCTATCTCTCGGTTACAAGTGCTGCTCTGTGACTCTGCTTGTTCAGTCTCTGTGGGTTTATTCTGGCTCTTCAGCTTCATTTCGTTTTCCAGCTCTATAGCTTTCTGCGCAGCTACATCTGCGAGGAGGCGCAAAGCACTAAAGTCCGGGGGAGCGCATTGATCTGGAGGAGTTGGTGGAGGTGTGTTGAAGAGGCCATTGGTGGTGCTAGCTGCTGTATTTCTGCTGGCAAGACTTGCCAAATAAGGCCCCTGTTCTTTCACTTTCATCAGCAGACTTTGTGCATCCAGCTTCATCAGTGCCTGGACTGACACTTCCTTACCAGGGTAACCTGCTCCTGTCAGAATAGCTGTTGCTGTGCTTCCGAGAACACCGAGGTCGAAAACAGGGGCAGAATGAATGACAGATGGGCGCTCCGGCAATGGGTTGGGAGAGGAGTGGCCCTCATTTCTACCTACAACCTTGCGAGAGATGGTGAACTTGGTGGGATCTTTGCCATCCTTGCGAAGCAGGTCAGGGAGCAGGCGGCGACGTGCGTTGATGAACCAGTTACAGATCTGGGAAAATAAATACAAAAACTGTAGATTTCAGGTATGAGAAGAACCAATATTTTCTGCTTACCAGCCTAAAAGAAGTGTCAGACAACTGACGCAAACAGCAACGTTTCTTCACCTAAACCTGTACCCAAGCACCACTCCCTCTAGTGGTACAGCCTCTCACATGACAAGACAAGGCGTGAGTGCCCCCATACAGCTGGCAGCAATGAAGGTTTGAGCTCAAATATGCTGAGCCACAGAGAAGCCAGTCAAAGGCATTCCAGTGAACTGACTACATAACAAGAAACTCTGCTGCAGCCTCATACTGATCTGCAAATGCCTTATCTAATGCAGCCTGTCTGTGCATGCCTACGTGTTGGGAGGGAAAGAGGAAACATCTACCACTGATGCAACAAAGTAAAAAAAGGAAGGCTGGGAAAAATGCTATTCTCTTTAGTACAATGCATACATTCCACTAACATTCAACTATTGTTTTGCTTTCACTTGTTCACAATCAGAAAGAGCAGTTAAAGCAGCAAGTGCTTTTAGATTTACATGCACAATCCATCAGACATCATCAGCCAAATACGCGTCACACTTGTTTGTACTAACAGACGTAGCGTCGTGCCTCTGATGCAAGTTTCTCTCGCGAGTGAAAAGAATAAATCAATAAATGAAAACCTGCTCCTTACCTGCAGCACCGTGAGGCTGGTTTGGCTCGACAGACTTTGTTTCTCCTGCTCTGAAGGGTAGGCGTTGAAGCGGTGCTCATACAGCCAGCTCTTGAGAATCTGCACCGCCTCCTTGGGCAGGTTACCACGGCGACGGCGCTTCCCAGAGAGTCCCCTTCCTGACAGGTCGAGCGGGGAGCCATCATCGCTGTCCGCTGAGGTGTGCTCCTCACGCTCCGGGCAAGTATCCTCTGTGAGAGCTGAGAGAAAATAGGCAAGACGTCAGTCACTTTGACTTTTACACCCCTGGCTGACTTGGTTTGTAGGAGGTAGTCCTTATAAAGTATTCTGATTCTGATGTTACCCATCACTTATTCTGGCTCATGCATGGTGTGGTTTAGGCACAGTTCTTCAGACACCAGGTAAACAAACATTAAAGGAAGGTAACTGTTTGATCAAGGACATAAAAGTAACAGTACTTGTTTACTGCTATTTTTTTAACTATTACATAGTAACAAACAGATTTACAAGAGCTTTGTGATATTGTGCTACACATGCCTTGCAAAAAAAAGACTTATGGTTGGCACTGGAGGGAATCTCCCCTCAAAATGGAGCATGCCTGATCCCAGGGGTGGGCAAGTGAATGCAGTAAATGTCCTTCTGTGGGGCTGGGTGAAACCTGACCCCCGGGGGTAGCGCCTGTCCTCACAAAGACATTGTGGCCATATCAACATCACAGTAGCTAGTGGCCCAGGAATCTATTGACAATGCAAAGCACCTCGAGCCGATTCAACAAAAAGGGCAGGAGGGAAATAAAACAGCTATTACTATTAATAAAAACATTTCAGACAGCCCGACTCTATGAATAGGATAGATATTTCAAAAAACAGCCTTAATGTGGTCAAACTGGGTCTGACAAAAAAACAGGACTTCTCGCTTGACAGAGATTTGAGGCATTCCCTGCAGTGCCCCGAAGAGGCGTGACGTACGTGATACTACAACTCCACTGGCTCACGGCACGGACCCTTTAAGATCTACAACAAAAAAAAACTCTCCAAACTATCTTACTGACAGCAAGCAAATACAATTCAGTGCAGGGCTGGCTTAGTAAGGTTTCATTCCGATAGGCCAGCTTGTCACATCAGCATCACGCTGATCAACTTGTGTTTACAAAATGTCCTCTCTACCTTTGTAGGCATCTGGAGCTCGGGGTCGCCTTGGAAAGCCTTGAAAAAGTAAAAAAGTTTAATACATGGTCACGGCCTCAGGCTGCTGAGACCGTAAAAAGAAAAAAATGATCGCCCAGCTATGCACAACAGACCGCTTTGTTAGAGAAATTAGGATGCATTTCAAAATACAAAACAAAAACCCCCACTACTTGCATAAAATAAAATATGACCAACCTGGAGGGAAAACGGGTAAATTAGCCATGTGGAAGGCACAAAAGGAGGCGAGCAGGGACGCACAGCCTCCCCGCATGTCGCTCCGCCAGATGGACACCATGCCTGCCTCCAGAGATAACTAGCTGGCTAGCTGTCCCTCCAAATTTCAACACAAACACACGCTGCATTTGCTCGCAACAAAAACCCCCGCATACCAGCCAGAGTCAACAGCGAAAAGCCACGCAGGGGCTCGTAGGCAGACACTCCGCTGGCGAGAAACGGACACGGCAAAAGACGAGTAGAGCTCACCTCTTTTGACTGCTTTCATTCTTTGTCGATAGCTGTATGGAAAACACGCAGCTGTCCAAGTTGCTCGTTGTTACAAAGCGTGCCCGGGAGCCAAACGATGGTTGACACAGCGACACTTTCTTCCAAGGCGCCGAAGGTGTTGGTGCTCTCGTCCCGACTCCAAAAAAACTAAAAGCCGTCGCCGCTAGAGTTGTGCCGCACGGAGGTGAGGAGAAAACAAAAGTCACATTTCCACCACACTCTTCGCTTTCTTGCAAAGATAAATGTTGGCTGTCTTCTGTCGCTCCTTCCTTTTACCTGCAGCGGTTTGCTAATCTTGACAGTCCGTCCCACCCCTTTCACAGCTGTCGGCCAATCGCGTCGCGGCGTTTATTCCTAGGCGAACATGCGCCAATCGCGGCGCGTTTTCAGGCAGAAGACTGGCTCGGTGTCACAGTGAGTGACGGGAGAACCATTTCATTCAAAATACAGCGCAGTCATTGAAACATTCTTATTATCTCGACGCGGTTAAAACCGGAGGGGAGCAACTAGCAACCCAGTGGTTACATAGACACAAGCGGGATGTATATATAACAACGGTGTAATCCCTTCAGATCACTGTGGTCATTTTATTATCGTCTCCAGGGGATAGCTTATATCTGTGTTTGAGATATGTAAGACGTAACACAAAAACATAAGCGTCTTAAGAGTTGACTGGTGATTTCTTATTCATTTTGCTCGGTTTCTGTTCAAGCCCGAGAGGCTCGTTTGACAAAAATGGGACCGTTTTGATTTCTCGACATCTGTGGAAGACTCAAACTCCTCCAGAAAACAAGCGGGAGTTTTGGTTTCTGTGAGATTGATAGCACAAACAAATCAACGTAAGATGACTGTAAATGAAGACTATAGATCATAGTATGTTTTCGGTGTTAAAAACGATTTTTACACTTATTTAAAACAAAAAAGCAAAGGAAATCACCTTTTTAAAAGAGCAAAACACTAAAATAAAGGCAGCCATGATGACGTTTTTGAGAAAGTACTGTGTGCATTTATTGAATTTTAGGTCTCTGCATTATACATTTGAACAACCTTGAAATAGTATAAATAGCTCTACAGCATTGTAAAAGATGGGGATTTTAGTCCGACTTTGTTCTTATTTACAGAAGACATTTTTAGAAGCACGGGGAGAAATGCAAGATTATTAGTTTTGTCTTAATATCAAACAACCCTTTTACTCAGTATTGCGCATATACTTTAAATATTACCAGAGTATAGTGACAAGAATCTAAGTAAATCTCACTTTATGAGCACATCCACTCACTCACAACTTTGTCTCAGACAGCACAACCAGTTTTACTAAACCCACAGACCTTGAATTACACACAGCCTATAAGAGTAGTTTAAAGAACAGATTTAAAGTATGTGCTTGCTTCATAAAGTATTTCTTCTAGGATTTGTACAGACACTTTTTGCTACATCATATCTCTCATGTTTAAAAGAGTATTGCCCCTGCCCTTCACCCCCTTTTCCCAGTTATATTCCAAAGTCAGAGAAACAATGAAGGGATACGAAAGAGCTTTTTGTCCTCCCCCTCTCTTCAGAGTACTGCGTGGGGTTAGTTTCACTAGATTCACACTGTCTGATGGAAACACATTTAAATGTGCAAACATGTATCAAACTTGGATTCCCAAAATGAAACTTTTACCCTTTCACAGAAAAAAATATAGACTGCTCATCAAAGCTATGCTCTGATATGAAACTCATCATGCATTTAGTGTGATGCTAAATAAAAGCCCATTCATTATCACCCATAAAAATCAATAGTTTAGAGCAGCAATCCCCCCACAGTGCCACTGAGCGAGTCACTGATAAACCTACCCAGGAAATCCAGCTAGGTGTGCCCCAGTGATTATTTGTGTGCTAAAGAACAGCTTTGTTTAAATGTATGAGATGAGCTTTCTTTTGTCTCTTTAAGTACCCCACTTACATCCCCTGGTTTCCCATACATGCACACACACAGACACACACACACAGACACAGTCATCAGCAGGCTGGAAAAAGTCTCGACTCTCAGTTTGAAACAGATCACAGAACAACTTTCTCTGTGTTCCTGGCCTCCTCCCCTTAGTGCGCCGGAGATGCCACATTTGTGTTTTACCTGCATTCAAGTCCTACGGTTTTGTGCAAGCAAGCAATATGTGGGGGAAAAATATGAAGAAAAGAAAATGATACATGAAATTATGTAACATATTACATAATTATTAGGTATTGTAAAACATGGCAGTGAGTGCATAGAGTGAAGACACTGTCATCTTGTCGTTGATACATATATATCCACTAGAAGCCGCCCTGCTTACATATAGAAGAGACATCTATGCTTATTTTAGGAGAAGATTTCATCAGACGAGTTCTTCCAGACAGTCAGAAATTAAATCAAGCCAACCACCAAGTTTGAGTCACACTGTAGGCCTCAGATGTTAACGGCCCTATTCACCCCCAGTCAAACGGAAGGGGGTATACTGACAGCCATCACGGAGCCAACTATTGACACCTTTGTGCCATTTTTCTGGCTGAGAGACATCCCCAGCAGGCAAACACAACAGCGAAAGAATGGTGAGCAATCAAGAGTAAGAAGTGGTGCTTACTTGGTATTTCCAATTCAAATTATGTACTTCTGGTTCACAGCAGGTGAGAAACAGACACTGCAACAGCTAAGGCCAGTGGCAAGTAATTAGGAGAGGACAGTTGGAGTTTGTTTGCTTACCAACTGAAAGTGGAAGACAGGCAAATGACAGTGGTTGATCTAAGGCATGTCAGGGGTGACTCGCTGGTTCGGTATGCTACTCGCAGTGTAAAAATCTAAAGTGAGGGGATATGTGCAATCAAAGCGATGTGTCCCCTTCATGCAAATTATGCAATGCCAGCTATGTAATTTCACTGTAAACACATGGCAGAGACATCATATGTTTTCTTGAGTGAAAAAAAAGAAAAAGAAAAATCAGCCCCTGTTGCTGCAGACTTCAGAAACGATGCTTTTCAAAATGCAAACTCCTAAGTTCATGAACCAAACGAAGAGGTTTGATCCACAAGTGATGGCCAGTTCTGCTGTCAAACATGGACTTATCAAAATCTTTAAATCTATATGTTGCTATGGCTACAGTGTACTTAATCTATTTTCACAGTCGACATTTGAGTTCCTTGAAGCTGACATTTAAATACACAAGATGAATTTAAAACAGTGAATTCATCTTTGGCTTACGCAGTCTTCAGTGGAAAGAAAAAAAAGCAACTGAATAAATGATTAAAACACAATCACTAATGTATGTAATGCTTTAATAAGAAAGTCTTCTTTGAATAAAAATAAGTGCAGGTATTTTGGGTGCTCCTCTGATGGGGGGGGAGATAATGTAACAATGAACTTTGATTTCGTTATTTTGTTGAGTGATGGGAAGCAAAATAAAATCAAAAAACACTTCTGGAAACACGAAACCTGCTCACTGTGCCTGCTGCATGAAGCCTAGATGAAAGCACTTAAAGAAGTCAAATATTTAAGTATCTGCAGTTACAGCACAAACAGAAAATGCTAAGGTAGTGGAAAAGAGAAGACAAAAGACACCAGGAGGAGTGAAAGATTTCGTCCCAACAACAGGAATAAATATTCGGTATATAGTTCCCCGTGTCATTCTGTCGGGTAAACATTACCCCTCAAAAGTTTGAGGTAATTTTGCAAAACTCCCACTTCACATCTGTGAAAACATGTATAAAACTAAAAATGACCAATCAAAATATACCCAAACTTGAGCTGGTACACTGGACTTCTCAGACAAGTCTGAAATTAATCAGACTTATAACATTCAAACACAAAAACTAATTCATGAATGCAAGCAAATAACAGTAAATGGGATCTTCATTAAAAAGAAAAAAAAAACTCTTTTGCAAAACAACAACTTTGATAATTCATGGTTACCAACAATAATTATATTTAGAATTAAACACATCATTTTTATTAAAGAGCGTGCGCATGCCGGTGGACTGACCATTAGACGAACATTAAAAAAAGATTTTTGTAATTGCCAATACTGTTAATTTAGGGCAGCTGCAGGATAAACCTTACGCTGCGTATAAAGTAAAGGTTTACAAAAATGTTGCAGATCAAAATGTATTAATCAATCATTACTGGAATCTATATCAAGGGATCAATCCTGTGCTCCAGTGGCAGATTACATCAGCAAGTGCAAGATAGCTACCTAACTTCTATCTATGCATGACAGCTATCTCGATAAAGTGTTGTGGCTCACACACAGTACAGAAAGAAAGAGTGCACCAGGAAAGATGTTCCCTGTCAAAGATTCTGGTAACTTATTGATAATAAAATAATTATAACCCTCGTTGTGTTTCTGGTAATTATCTCCTATATTATATCGGATTAATGACATTTTATTTAGCTTGCATTTTTCCACATTTGTGAAAAACGTTTCTCAGATATATTCCACATCTTTAAATTATACCAAAAATATCAGTTATAGTGCTGCTAGCCTGACAACATGACTATAAATAGATTATTTTTTTTCACTGATTTTGCTGAGAGCTGCATGTTTCACTTGGGGAGAAAAAAACTGACACTCTGGGTCTTTAGATGCAGAGTGCTGACTCGTGCTTCTCAGGCAGACTGCTCTAACTTAACACGAGAAGCGAACATGGTACTGGTAATGCAAGCAGTGCGCTCCTGACCTATTTGATAATGTTATGAAAACTGTATCGCTGATTAAAAATATTGGATAGTTAAGAGCCTGATAGATCAGCCTTTATGGGTTTTAGAGTAGTCTCAAAACGCTCTTAAAAAAAAGGGAACTACCTATTACATGCCTGAAAAGTTAAACAGTGTGTACTGTTCTTTTCACAAACCAACATGATTTGGCTCTTATGGGAACCATTTCATAAAGCTGCCAATAGAAGACTAGAAACTCTGATTTATGAGTGATTTACATCTCCTAGCGCAATGATCTACAGGGTTTTATCTCATTCTTTCTGTTCTCTTTAGAGCTGGTTTGCACTTCTCAGAGTAGTAAAAAAACAAAAACAAAACAAAACATTGTATGAATCAATAAATGTTTTTATTAAGTGACAATATCTGGACCTGCTTCAGCCATTTCCAATTACCTTTTATTTTGACTGTTTGTTTTTCAGTTATTTTCCCAGGGGTGATTCTCTTATTTCAATTTACCGGTAATTTCTATTCTTTGAAAATGTTTAGGTTTAGTGTCCATTTAAATTAATATTATATGGACTGTATAAATAAAAGACAAGATTTAGGAAAATCAGTCCAGGTATTACAATAAAAATCACATAACTTTTTGAAAGCAGCTGGTTCACAGTGTCCAGAGATCCTGAGTTTCAAACACATCAAAGCCTCTTCTTGACATAACTAACAGATAGTAATTAAGGATATCTCCTCTATATATTTATTTCTATATATTTATTAGTGTTCCAAGTTCACAAAATTGTTTCAGTTATAGTCTTAAATTCCCCCCAGTTTGTTTTAATTTTAGTTATCTAAAATGTCTTTTTAAACATCTAATCCACAGTGAAAGAAACAACATTAAATGTAATGGCATGTAATGTAATGGCTTCTGTTAATGGCACAAGTTTTGTCAGCTATGTTAACATAACTGAAAGAGGTTTCCTAATAATTATTCTTTTAATATGACAAACTGGTATTAGGGATCATGCCATTAGAACACAGGAGTGAAGGTAAGTATGCCTGAAATGTTGGTAATTGTAATTAATTGCTGCCAATTATAACATTTCTGCTGGTCAGTGCTACATTAGCTTAAAACAAGTGAGCTTCTCTTCACAAAACAAAGAAAACAAAAACATTTCTAAAAAACCCCAAACTTTCGAGCGGTAGTGCGTATCCTAAAATGTCCTCAAGCTTTGCCTGATTATTGGGATGCGTTCTCATTCAAAATCTATTCAGACACTAAACCTAAAGTTTGTTAAAAAACATCTTTGACACAATCGACTCTGTAGGACATACGCAAGAGGTAACTGCTACCTATACAAATACCCCTTTAAACCTGACTTTCAGTTTCATCACACCAAAACTATTCGTAATAACCTGATCTAAACTGATTTTTATATAACTCAAATGATGAAGAAAGTTAACAAACAAACAAATAAATAGGAGGAAGACACACAGGTGAGTTTGTGGTATGTGTGCAGTGTCTGTGATGGCCACAAGGCGGTGTTGTGCAAAAGCTACAAGATGGCCAATGGTCTGGGAAGAGAGCAGGACGATGGAAGACAGAAAAGCATAAACGCTTGCCTTCTGTCTGCTTAAAATATCTTATAGCCGAGATACAGGAACATTTAAAACAGTCTTCATATAGATTCTTTAGGATATAATTGTCATTATAACAATACCTTCATTAACAATTTTTTATGATGATATCAAGAACCGTAACAAGAAAAGATAAAGTTCATCAGCTGAGGTTTTCAATGGCAAGACTCAAATGAGGAGTCTCCTGCTTCAAAGTCCGTTGGGTCCGAGAAATATTCAATGACTTGTTTGCTCATTTGAAGTCACCAGGACCAGCCTATTATTGTATGAATGTGTCAAAACCCTCCAAACTCAGGAATTTCCCACTCTTTTCCCTCCACCCGTACCCATCTTCACTGAGATGACTCATTTACATTGCAAAAGCTTCCTCTCCTTTCTCCAGGTGTTTAACTGACACTTAACTGTCCTTTGTTCCAACCCAACGGCCCTCTCTCACAGTTTCTTTCAGAGACGAGTCTGGGCCTCAGGGACGTAAATTTCGATGCTGTCTGCGCTCTCTGTGGCCGAGTTCTGGCGAAACGAGGCAGCCTTCTTAGCAGCCAGCAGACGCTTGCGAGCCTCTTGTCGCTGTTTCTCTGCCGAGCTCAAGGAAGAGTTGGATGAAGAGTCGGCACTCTTCTCGCGGCCCAGCGGTGGTCGTACCTTACCAGGCTTCTTTGACGCCGCCTTCTCCTCGTCCTGTCGTGTTGGGAGTGACAGAAAGTGACAGAGAGGGAAGAGTAATGTGTGAAAAGAGGAGATAAGGGGGGAAAAAGACAGATATCATCCAGTGAGAAAATATAATCAAGAAACATCAAGGTCTTTCATCAGTTTAGACAAGATCTGCAGACAGGACTTTGACAAGACAGTACAACAGGGCTAATTCTCTTCAATTAAGATTGAAATAACAGTGATTTTACATGATAAACAGAGACACTGACAGTACAGACACCTGAAAAACAGACACTGAGAAAAAAAAGACTAAACAGTCATTTGAATATAAATTTTCAAAGACATGAAATGGTAACATGAACTGATGGGGAGTTTACATTAAGTTTAAATTATAAGGCTCACAAGACACACCCGATGCACGTATACTGACAAGCAACAGAAGCAAAAGCACCTCAGAGACAGGTAAAACAGCCACTGACATAAAGATGCAGGCACAGAGACACATATACACACAGTTACTTATTAACAATCAACAAAGGACACACAAGCACACAGACTTTTAAATAACAAAAGCCAGAATTCTTTCACATGAACCAGCACATCTCAGCCATGCTTCGCTGCAACACACAGATCAGAAAAATGACACATGCATGCTCAAAGTAGGGCTTCATACATAAAAACACACAAGCGTCAGCCCTCTTTGAGATGTTTTAATTTTTCCATGCATGCCTACAGGGATCACTCTGGCCCCTTTGGACAGGGAGGCCTTGTAAGAGTTCATCCCACGAAGGGGATGCGGGGTAAAAGAAGAGTGGGAGCAATGGTAGTGGTGGTGGGAGGAGAGAGGCCGGTTTCGGCGGCTTTCCTACCCCAGCCAGGGCACTGGGCAGCAGGGGTGGGAAGTACCTTCCGCTCAGAATTTGACTGGGCAGCTGCAGATGTCACGGGCTGCCAGTCATTGGACTTGAGATGGTACAGCTCATCAAATTTGAGGCTGATGTCTTCAATGGATAGCTGAAGGAGGTCCCAAAAACCAGCCAGGTCCTGGGCTGTAGGGCGTGGGTTGGCATTTGTATTCTAACCAGAAGAGAGATGAAAATGATTGAGGAGTAAGAATACAATACATGTAATCTATATAACACTGTAATGAATATTACAATGAGAAAAGAATCATGAGATATAAAAGCTGACTGCAGTCAAGCGTAAGTGTACAAAGTGTTACACAGCTGATGAAACCTTGTTAAAAATAAAACAGTTTTTTCTTTTTTCTTTTTTTATTACTACCCTTAAGCCCAAACAACTTAACTTCTTTTTGGAGTTTGGAGTTTTTGTCCAGAATGTGAATCAAACTCATTCTGGTTATGGGTTAGTTTGTTTTCCTGCTATCACGGTGTAGCCTCTAAAGCTCCAAAAAAGAAGGATTCTGACAAATTTGCCTGTTTTCAACCTTTTCAGTGTACCAGAGAAGTCTTGTCCAGGAATATGATGCATGTGTGAAAATGGAAAACAAATTTTATATGAAAAATAAATAAATACAAATAAAATTAACCACTGAAAATGTAAAAGTTGGCTAAATCTATTTGAGATGATCTTGGCAAGTAAAAGGGCGGTATCTATGTCCATGATGTGCCATCATCTTGGTGGGATGGTTTCTTTACATCACACTCCGTCTGTCACTGGAACCTCAGGACCTCAGTGTATTGTAGTTTCACCACAGCTGGAACCACCACTGTCCATGGAAGCCTTCAGCTGTTTGACTAGAAAGTAGATAGCACTGACTGTAGGTTTGGTTTTAAAATGAGCACTGTTTCTTACCCGGAAAGCTTATTTGGTTGCTCCTTTTTCTTTTCTTTTAACTATAACAGACCCTTCCCCTTCTTTTGGCTTTAAACCAACCTCCTTTGAGGCTTGAAAGAACTGCTGCTAATATGTGTTTAGCTGAATTACAACAATGCTATTTACAGTTTAGATTGAGAGTCATATGTAGACAATGCAGATTCCAAGATCATCAGCTCAAACAACCATATGCAAGTTATTCAAACATGTCACCAATTTGACAAGGTCTGGAAGAAGACCCAAACCGGCACCCTCAGATAACAGGAAATGGGTTAGGATGTTGAGGAACAAACCAGGAGCCTCCATTATTTTATAATGCAAATGTGTGCCTGTTGTGTGTGTAATGTTCTGCTGATTAAGCCGCTGCCTCTCTTGGCCAACACACGATCACAAAAGGTATTTTAATTCTCAAGAGTTTTATCTTCTTATTAAATTTAAAAAAAAGTATCAATGGAGGAGGACAAAAGCTGCATAATAGCACTGCCTGCTTTGACCAGCAAGAGTTATGGCACAGAAAAGCTGTTGTTTTCATATTTAGCACTAGAGGGAGCTACATCACAGCTTAACTCTTTTTGTTGAGCTGGAGGGACTACTATCGCAGCACGGTTTAGTCATTTCAATAACATCATACATTTCCAACTCCCACGTTGATAAATTCAGTACTTTGATCTAGAAGGCAACCACTCAGCATCTAGTGTCAAATCAAACTGTTCCCTCTATGTTTATTCTGCTGATTAAACCTGCAGATACTGCCCGATATGAAGTAAAGGCTGCTCTGAGATCTTTTACTCTCACACAGCCACTGCTTGTAATGCTTGGGGAAGGCTGGCTTTTAGATTGTGCCTTCTTTTTCTGTGCACTACATTTATGCAGCTTTATATCACTGCCGTGATCTATATTCATATATTCTAGATAAACCGCGTAGTCGCTCTATATTTCTTACTTTGCAGCATTTGTTGTAAAGGATGCGGTATATAGCCATTTTCACTAAAACAAGGGCTTATTTCTTTATTTTAAGCTCCTTTTCTTTTGTGTGGGTTGATCCCAATGACTTGTTTTGTGTAGGCCTAATATGCTGTATATCAGATTAGTTGTCATATGTGCGATAGCTTTTGTAATCATCAAAGCAAGCAGCTCTTGCTGTGGACACACAAAAAACCCCAACAAATTCCCAAATTGGTAACGGGTACAAGAAACTAGCTGGGACTTTCAGTCTCGTGAGCGAGCCTGCAAAGTGGAATCATCACAGAAAGGCCATGTACACACCAAGTTTTGTTCACACAGTCCCCGGAACTGCTGAAACTTCTGAGACATTAGGAGTTGGGCACTTCCTACTGCACTGCGAATCTTCCCCAGCACTACAGTGAGAGAAAGAAAAAAAAATGTAACAATCATTGAAGATTTTCTCTTTTCTTTCTTTCTACCTCCTAAAGTAGAGACAGAATTCATAGTGGCACTTTACACACTGACCTGCATACAGTTGGTCTCACTGGGTAAACACTTGCTGGTTTTTTTCTTTGGTGCAGAACATTATCATACAAAGCAAAACTTTAGGGTCTAGACGTAGGTGTAGGAAACAGTGAATCTAACAGACTCCACAGGATGTCATGAAGGGGATTACAGTGTATTGGACATTGTGATTCTATTTAAAGGAATGTAAGCCTATATAGATACCCCAGCCTTCTGTCTGTCACTTGTTACTATGCTAGTCTTTTGCTTTGTCAAAATCAGGACAAACATCTGTCCTGACAAAATTGCGGCTTCTATTCAATCACTGCATTTCAAATGTATTATACTATTTATGATTATAGTGTTATGCCACCTGGGTCTGGAAAACAGCTCGACATCAGATTTAATCCTGAATATTTTACTGTAACACACACACACACACACACACACACACACACACACACACACACACACACACACACACACACACACACACACACACACACACACACACACCTGAGTATATGTCAAATATATAGTCAAATATAGGAAAGGGCCTTGTCTGAATATTGACCACCTACAGCCCTGCTTGTGTGTACTGTGTGTATTTGCTCTATGCCACAGGCTGATGTGGAGGCATTAATCTAATCTGGGGGTTTAATCAGGTCCAGACTAGATTTGTGTAATTCTGGAGATTAGAGGCCCGTTTGTGTGCGGTAACCCCAGGTATTACCGCCTCATCCCTGCCATGCTGTGCAACTCTGATAAGAGTGAGAAGAGGCCTTGAGGCAAGACCCTATAAACGGAGCTCCACACCAAGTGCCGGAGCGAGACAACAACAGACGTTTGGAAGAGCTGAAGCGCTTCGGTAGTGATTTGACATTTAGCCTTGGCGTGCTCTTTCTGGAACTTTCTGGCTTAAATTATGGCTATGTCAACCATAGATAGAAAGTTTCAAATTTTAAATGGAAAAAAAACGTGTTTTAATTGTGTGTTTGTATCTCTAGCTTATAATGAAAAAGATCCCTATGCAGTAACACATATGCAACCACTTTATCTGCAAGAAAAACTATAAAGAACAAACATGTTTTACTTAAAAACATTTTTATGTATGAAAAAGCTACTCCTGATCACAGTTAGCAACTTAGCCTGCTATGAAAGCCCTAATCACCTCTGCACCACGGTCTGCTGAGCTGTAAAGTGGACTCAACTACATGTGCTGCAGACTCTGCTTACTCCTGCTGACTCTTGTAAATACTAGAGTAAGAGCGCATCCTACTGGACAAACTATGTCATAACATAGTTTTTGAGATAAGAGGTGAAATGTCTTTATTAAACTCAAAAAAGTTGAGTTTTTTCTTTTCAAGCTCTTTCTAATCTACTTAAATAACGATGACCAGGACGAGAACCTACACAGACATATGCCATGACACAATTACCCTAAATATCTTTGGAATATGCCATCCATTCATTCAACTTAGGGCAGTGGAGAGGACAGGTCACCAGCCCATCACAGAGCTAACCTGGAGAAACTGACTGTTTAGTTAAGGTTTATGTGACCGATAAAACTATGGCCACCATAGCTCAGTCTATTATTCTGGGAGTGTGGGAGGAAACCAGAGCAATCGCAGGGTTATGATGTTTTTCAGGAGTGTGTCCCGATTGATTTACGTATGAATTTTTAAACAATTTCCTTTATGTTACTGCACACAAAACTATCACTGGTAGTGCAATGAACTTGTGAATTTGGTTTATGGTCACGAGGTTTAATTAGTTCATGTTTATTTCTGAGAAATTTTGCTTTTCTTCCTGTAATTTTGCCATTGTGGTATACAACAATACCCAGGAGTCATAGGCTCTGCTGTGAATTTAACACTCTCTGTTCCAGACAATAACAAAATGTGTCAACACAACCAAAACCATATCTGAGACAACAAAGTAAACTGATTTATGCTTTTTCTATTCTGCAACCTTCTCCAGCTGGCAGAGGTACTTAAACAATGAGAAAACTGTGTTACAGTGAGCACCCTGCCATCCTTACCCTCTTCTGAGAGCTGGTTATCTTTGGTTTCCTGTTCCATCTGCTGGCACCAGCCTTCCATGCGTCCCGTCTCGGCCTGCAGTAGCTTCAAGAACCACTGGCCGTCCCTCCGACACAGCGTTCCCCCTCCTCCGCTCTGAGGGACACTGCTGTTATTCCCGCTGTCCAGCCAGGGGTCTGGCGGTGGAAGAGAAGAGGGGTCCAACGCTGGGTCCAGACTTTCCGAAAAAGAGGAAGAGCTGCTTCTTGTGGTGGAGCGGTTGAGAATCTGCCTGGGAGGTGGAGGTGAAGAGGTGGGGTCGGCGCTGTCTAAAGAGTCTCGTCCAGGAGGGGAGCTCATGGACTGACTGGCACAATTGACCATGACTTTCTTCTCAGTGGGTTTGGCATTAATTACATGGGAGATGATAGAGATGTCCTGCGTGTCTGAGTCTGTTTCGTGCTTTGAGGCCATGCTGCTGGAGTGACTGAGCCTGAAAAAAAGTATTTGACACTGTGATAAATTTGCCTTTTTTCATAATTAGAAGAACATTGTGACATTTTATGTGCACAGCATTAACAAAGAAAACCTGTTTACTCCTTACTGGAACAAACAGGTCTTTCTTAGTTTAAACAGTGAGCCAATTCCACTGGTTAATGTAGACATTATAAATACAGAGGATATAATGGAGTCTGGGCCTTGCATACATTATGATGCACTCAGACCAGCATCAAATGATTTGTGAGGATTGGAACTCTAGCTTCTTGTTTTTCTAAGGCTGATTAGATATGATGGATGCAATGACTGAGCATTACTGTTATCAGTCAGAAAATGAACATAAGGAGGTTTGCGTTCAGTCAAATAATGAAACATAAAGAAGAGGGAGAAAAAAAAAAACCCTGAAGAATGACAGAATCATTGCACCAAAACTGACATAACAGAGTCACATAGCACAATACCAGCAAAATACAAACAGGTCACAGAATGCACTGCACCAAACAAATGAATCTTAACCACACATTAAACAGAGACATATTTAAAGTTTCCCGCGGTCCGTAGCCAAAACTAGCTGCCAGAGACAGACGTGCATTTGCCCTGTTCTCTGTTATCTTGATTATATTCAAGCACTTTGCAAAAGACTGTAAGGAGACAAGAAAGCAGACAGTCACTTACTATACAAGATACCTGATTGTATACACGCCTAATAAATGCGTAAAACACTCAATCTGCACTTTCCAGACTGTCTGCAGCACTTGAATATAATCTGTAGAAAAAGTGTGAGTCATCACCCTGTGGCAAGTTTAAATTGTGTGCACATTTCACATTTAACTGCATTATGCATGTTCACAGTCCAACACTTCAAGACTATTCTCACATTTACTTGCTACAAGTTGAGTTCAAAAGACAGACTTTAGCAAACTAAGATAATTTGGGTCTGCTGCACAATTATCACTCACAGAAAGTAATGAATGAGGAGCCTTACAACCAGCAATTAAACTTTTCAATTACGACAAAAAATAGCTTCATATTTGACAATTTGAATTCAATGTAGGAGGCTTTTAAGAATTTCTAGGTGAGTAATTAATCCCCCCCCATTACATTACACATGATTAATATTTTTGTTTATTTGAACATGCCCGGGGGGGATCTTTGAGTAGTTAATATTCATTATAGGAATATGGTTCAATGTTGAAAACACAACACACAAAGACAATGAGGGTGTTTTAACATCTACAAAGCTCCTGGAAAGGGAAGGAACAGTCAGAGGAGTATGTGTGGCTATAATATAAATTCCTCACGTTGTTAAAAGGACAGGAAGAGGACTTACTGCCACCCGTCCTCCACCTGTACTCCAATTGATTGAAATCTGGTCAGGGGAGGAGTCTCTTCTCGTGCAACTTCCTGAATACAGTCCACCTGAAAAGTAAGGAACAATGACACAAACAAAAATATAGTCAAATGTTTTGTCAAAACTACGATCACGAATCAATTAATATGGCACCGAGCAATGGCTACTAGCTGGCATTCCAGAGTGACAAAACAAAACACTAGTGGAAAAACTGAAAAGAAAAAAAAACCTGTATAATTTATGCTTGGTTTCAATACAATGTCGAAACCAAAGGTTGTTCTAAATGAGTCACTGAGAGCCGGATCTGGAAAATGGATAAAATATTTCCGCTTCAGAACAGAAAGTGAGAAGAAGGTGAAGCAAAAATATGTGGTTTGGCTTCAATACCACAGAAAAAAAATAAAATAAATAAAAAGATTGCTCTCGCCAGGTGTAATGAGAGGGCGAGAGTCACAGTAATGACACCTTTAACTTCCAGGCATACTTTTAGGTTTGATGGGAAACACTTAGACAGAGATCATGAACAAAATTAGCTTTTTCCTGGATTCAAGCTCAGCAGGCAAAACGAGTTACACTTCAGTCAAGGATGTGACTATTGGCACCGCTCTGTGTTAGATGTGTAGTTAACGTCTGATTTCTACACAACTGTGCAACAGTGGTACAGCCACCCCTGTCGTACCTGTATGCCAATGGAGGAAAGTTTCCGCCTGGGCACCGGGACTACTAGGGGCTCCTCTGCTGCAAGATTTCCTTTATTAAATCCCGATTTTAGGGGTTCGTGCTGGACTACAGAGTCACTTGTCTCAGTGGAAGCATTTGCAGTAGCGGGGGCAATTGGTTCTCTCGGGGTAGCAATAGGAGTGGGGATGATGTGCGGAGGGCGGGGAATGCCCCGGGCCAGGCTGTTGGCACGGGTGCTGTCAAGGCTGTCAGAAGAATTGCTTTGAGCGTGGCTAGATTGGCTGTTGACCTCTGACCTCCTGTCCTGCTGGTCCAAGTAGTTGTCCTGGGCCGATTCTGTGCTGCTCTGCACGGTCACTGAGATGTAGGGCTTGGAGGTTGTACGGGGTGGCACTGGTGGAGGAGCTGCTTTCTTACAGGTGGTTATGCACGAGGAGACTGAAGGAGAAAAGAGCAGAGAGGGAGAAATTAGAAGAGAAGGATTATAAATAAGAGTTTCAGTGAACTGGCCAGTGACTTCTAGGGATTGTGAACACAAAACAAGGAGGAATCAATGATAATAAAATGCACAAGTAGAACTGCAAACAGCTTACTGCATTACCCATTTGTTTATCAGGGTAGTTCTAAGAACTCGCTAATCACTTTTCTCAACATGTCCAAAGCAAAACTCTTCAGCTGCATATAAACACACAGAGACACTGTTGCATGAAAGCTGGAGCTACAGCTGAACTGGGGAAGCATCCCATTAAGTGGAAAATCTAATCAGGCAGAAAATTGAACAAACTTATCATCCCATAAAGGTTGCTAAATTAAATCACACACACCCCGTGTGCTTCAAAGACTCAATCACAAGACAGGTGATGAAATCAGTAAACCAATTGCTGGCCACTTGACACTCAAAGCCAAATATGGTAGAACAGCTGAGGGAGATAGATTTATCTGCAGTGCTCACTAATGACAGTCCAAAAATGCCCTCCAGTCATAAAAGATAACGCAGAGAGAATGTATGCACAAAAGAGGGAGAAAACCACTCAAATAAAATCTGTGTAGTAAGAGATAACATGCAATTAACATTTTTACAACACCTTTACAAGTAAAATATTCTCTCTTTCCACCAGCTTTAATAGTGCATTTATGCTTGTTGTTACAGCATGTTGAGTAATAAATGTCAATTTGGCAAGACACAAAAAAGCAAGCAGCTGGGCTTTTCAAACATGGGATACATAAGCTTTTTGCAGTGACCCTGACACAGGTCACTTTTAATGTTCTGTCAGATACATCAGTGACAGTGGTGGAGAGCACCATTGCACTCGTGAGAAAATACTTTTTGCACCTATATTAATGAAAACTGTAAGCATTAACTCATTAAGTGTAACTATACATGTTAATATCGATCTCAGTAACTAAATCAATGTAAGCGTGTGTGTGCTGCATGTGACACAGTAGCTCCCTCCGCACCTCACACTCTGACTGAGCGAGTTAGATTGCCGTGGCGAAAAGTAACCAGAGTGCCCAGTCAGACGCTCATCTAGGCTGACGCGTTCAGATGCCATCAGATCAATGGAAAGAAGCGCTCATCTGAAAGGGGCTCGCGTCTGTACGCTTTGACATGTTCAATGCTGCACCAACAAAACAAATATGCTAGCTGTGTGTTAATACTCCACCGCGTCGCAATGCTCCAGTTTCATGGTCACATGGCAGCGTACCATATACAGGGGTTAAAATTCTCAAGCCAAGCTCCTTATACTGGTAACAGTTTGTGTTAGTTTACATGAAATCCACACAACATGAGACCATCACGCAATATAAAAAGCAGATTTTCCAGCTCATACCAACGTCTGCCCTCTGCCTATTAGACCAATGATTCAATGCTAGCATGGCCATTCATTCAGTTTTCTTTATAGCTTTCATTTCCCTCTGATCTATATTAGTAAAATCAGAAGAAGAATTTGTGATATAAATCTTTTTAAGAATAGAACATTTGGCCATTCTGGAGCTGCGTATAATCCAGTCATCAATCACAAGCTATATAGATGTTCAGTCAGGCTACAGATTCCCATTAAGATCATGTAAACACACTCACAGGCTTCTATAGTTAGTTTAAACACAAGGACTCTGTAGAAGAGACCACTATTCCCCTCATGCTACACACACAGTAATGGCAGAGTGCGATGGAGTACCACTAAAAATGTCTAATCTAAACAGGGAATGTTACTGTAGCACTGTAAACCCTTTGGTTGCTGTGTAATCCCTCAAATAGATGATTTATTTGACATCACATGAGGAAAAACAGAGGAATGAGGAAAAAACCACGGAAGAGAGTTGGCACTGAGAAGAGCCTTTGAAGTTGAGAGAAGAAACTTACCTTTTAAAGCCTGAACCATGAAATAATTGCCAGAAAATTCAATTTTTTTTAAATGAGACTGTTTACTTTATTTTACGTTCTGATAAAATAAAATAAAATCAAGTAAATATTTGCATATATGAGTTTTAATTGTATCAGATTTGTTAAAAGCACACTGATGATGTGAAAGTCTCAAAAAGTCACAAAAACCCATGCATTAGATATAATATATAACGCCTTAATATAAATTTAAACTTGGCCTATTTAACATCATAGTCAGGCTTAGCTTCACTACCACTTAATCAAAGTGTAAAACGTGGCACAACAGCAGGACATGATCACAGATTCATATAGTCACGTGCTAAATTTTACATTTTAGATTAGAAGAAACAACACAACAGCATCTGGTGAACTCCATTCAACATTTTTTATGCTTCATCAGGTTTCACTGAAAGCTGCGTTCAAAATTCCAAGAAGGGTTTTTAAAAAGCCCTGCAGCAAACATGTGAGCTGCTCTGAATCACTAACAAAAGGGTCATTTGTTCACTCTGCTCCTTATCTTTACCTCCAAACACTCACATACACACACTCACAGCTCATCTGACCTTGTACATATTATTGAGTCAGTTTAATCTGATAAAGTGCGAGTCAATTTTGTCAATTTGCTGTCAGTTACCAGCCTGAAGTACTGGACTGTCACTAGATCTAAGGTCCTTCTGGCAGTCCAAGATGTATGAATACAGAGAGTTCTTTTTCCAATCTAAAAACAGTGCTGTTACTTTATTTAATAGCACAAAAAAGTCTGTATGGAGTAATTCAGGACTGTGAAGATAAACGTCTGGAAAAATCGAAAATACAATACTTCCTACTGACAGACTAATACCTGTCAACAGCCAAGAAGTCTCGCTTGTGACTGCTGCCCTTTGTCCCCGCTGTGACACTAAACAGCGATGCACTCAAGATGACATTCCAGAGAAGCCTGAACAATGACAGCATTAATAAACAGCGGAGATGATACCCAGTCCACACCTAAACTGGCCCACCTCCAGACATAGAGCGTGTCTTCTTCCTTTCACAGACAGGAGTGCAAACATGCACACCCTTTTACACACCCTTTCCTAATAGGAAACATAAACTGACAATAAAGGATCCACTGGTGTTGCCAATATGGCGAAAGCCTGAATAGTCATAACGGTCAATATCGAGAACACGATTATTCAGCACAATTATTCGCTGACTTTTGCATAATCAGCCATTTGTAGAGCTTAACAAATATCAGATTTGAGTTTCCTCATCAGCCTTAAAAACTTGTAACGGTTCTTCTTGTTGAGCTGATGCATCGATAGTTGATGCATTGAAACACACATTTCAAAGATGGAAGGCACCAACTCTGAGCTAGCCTGAAAGCTGACAAAATAAAAACTGTAAAGTGTCTGGCATCTTTGCACACAAACACTGTCAAACAAATGTCATTCAAGAAACGTTCACTTTAACATTCATCATAGCTATGCACGTCACTATCCACCAAGAATGACCAACATCCTCGCTGATACAGCTGAAAAGTCCACGTTTCCTCTCCTTTTTCTAACGCGAGTTAGACACTAGGCAGAGCACAGCGTGTGATGTGGTGCGCTGGCACTACTAATGCATCCCAGCGTGCGGGGTAACTGTCACCGTGACGAGGTGTTAGAGGGCATAGATAGTGTGCATGTCTGTCTTTGGACACCTGCCCCGCAGATCTCCAAGTGTCACATCACGCTTTCGTCATCTGACCAGAATTCACCCTCTTAACTCTTAATGCCGCCGAATCTGCTTTACTCACGTAACTGTCATAACTGACATCTGCCTCTGAGATTAGTCAGGAGATAAATCAGCAGAGCTGCGCACAACAAACGGGACACTCAAATACAATCAGTATGTTGTCGAATAAATAACATTAATTCCAAAGACTGTATATTTTAGATGGGCAGTGGGTAGGAAGGCCTTGTGTCGAACCTTGTGTCTACTTGACAAACTGTCAAACATTTTTTCCCGTGTCTTTTTGAGCACCGTCGCTGCCACAGTGTTCCCACGAGACTGCAGATTCCTCCACATACAGATTAGCAATGGCATCCATAACCACACGAGTGACACAACCGGTTTTTAACAAGTCTAGAGTTTACCCACACAATCCACTGTTGTTCATACAGCTTAATGAGCAAAGTGTAAAAAGTCAACTGTATGATAGCACAGAAAACAGATGTAGAAAGCCTGTTGCTAGGGCTGCTCGATTATGGCAAAAATGATAATCACGATTATTTTCACTGAAATTGAGATCACGATTATTTGACGATATTTATTTAACCCTTTAAGACCTACTATAGAACCAAGTCCACCAGAGCTTATATTATTTTTATTTATTTTTTTTACATGCTGTAGTGCCATTTGTGGGAGCATTTCAAGTTGCTATACATCAATACAACTGTTATAGCCCATATTTTAATATATGTATGCATTAAGTGCATAGTAATTACATAAATTGCAAAAAAGTGCAATAAACTACAAAAAAAATTGAAAATCGCTTTTGTTTTGTTTACATATATTTCTACTTGGAGAAATTTAAGAGGTTTATCCCTCAAAACTTTAAATACAATAAAGTTGCAAAAAATAGTTTACAACAACAGGAAATTTATTTTGAGTGTCTTCATAGTTTTATTTTGGAGATACACCAATTTTTATATACTGCAGGAAAAACAAAAAACAATCCTATGATGCAAATTTGCAAAGAAAACAGCACGTGCATCATTTCACTGTGGGAAGTGTTACGAACAGCTGATAGGAACGGCAAAGCGTGTTTCTGGAATATTATGTTTTTGTTCCTGCAAGCGCTTTTTATGCAATTTTTGCAAAGCTATATGTGGAACGAAACCGTGACCGAGGACAAGCTGATGGCATAAGATGTAAGTACAACTCCTCCGGTTTCATATGCAAAACAAATTATTGCGCTAGCTTACACGGTTCAGGTTCTACAGGGATTTAAAAATAGTTACGCAAAACGGAGCGTGCTGCTCTGACCGGCTTTAAAGGGTTAACAATGACTTTAAAATAATAATATAAAATGGTGTGCAACACCACTGAAGTTTTGTTTGTTTTTAAACTCTTTTCAACCAACAGCAGTCACTCTCCTCTCCAAATAACTTCTGCTTAGCTTTCCGAGCTTCCCTCGGGTCCTCTTAATCAGCGGTCTCCAACCTTTTTTGCGCCACGGACCGGTTTATGCCCGACAATATTTTCACGGACCGGCCTTTAAGGTGTCGCGGATAAATGAGGGAGGGGCTAATAATCGGCTCAGTCATTTTTAATGATCGTTGAAAGCCCAGATTAAAATTCGATTAATTGAGCAGCCCTACCTGTTGCTATCAGAAAGAGTGCAGTGCAGAAACGCATTAACAACAGAGGAACAGCAAGTAGCACATTCTCTCATCAGACTGTCTCCTGTACTTGCTTAGGTTAAAGATTTCAGCCACACAGGCATACACAGCTGTGGAAACAGAAACATCTTATTTTAAAATCGTATAACAAAAGTGCAGCCAGCTCTTTCTAACCCTAAGCTTTTGTTCAGAACTGCAGAAAAGAGCTACAAAACAGACATGAAGCCAAAAAACTGCTGCCTTTTAGTTACACAAAATAACCCTCAACAGGGATGCACTGAATTAAAAACATATAGCTGGTCTTTGGAGTAAAAAAATTAACAAAGGAGAGAGAGAAAAAAAGTAGATTGCTGAAAAAATGTTTTGATATCTAGATTTTTTTAGATAATTTCAGCATTATGGTTGAAAGCAACATGCTGCATCAATTGTTGTTGTTGTTAAAAAAAAATTAGATTAATCTTCAATTGAGACACAATAGCGGTGTGGGAAATAATTATTTCATCTGCTGCTCAATTTGTAGGTTTGCTCACTTACAATGAGGTTAACAGTCTCTATTAGTTATGGCAGTTTTCTCAACCACCAGTGCGGTGAAGTTATCCTGTACCCTTAAGAGAAAAATAGCTCTAAACGATGTTTCCATCTCCCTGCTTGACTGCGGGGATGGTGTTTGTTGGATCGCACTCAGCATTTCTTTTCCTTCAAACACGACGGGTCAAGTTGGTGCCAAAGAGCTCGATTTTAGTTTCATCTGACCACAGCACTTTCTGCCAAATTTTCACTGAATTATTTAGATGCTCACTGTCAAACTTCTTGAGCAGGAGAAACTTATAGTACTACATTCCTATGTAGTATAGTGCGTTAGCGATGGTGTTCTTGGTGACTGAGGTCCTAACTATCTTCAGATCACTAACAAGCTCCTCTCATGTGTTTTTTGGCTGATCCACCATCTTTCTCATAATCATCTTCACCCTACGAGGAAAAATTTTGCATGATTGTGACCGATTTTATATTTCTTCCAGTTCTGAATAATCGCACGAGCAGTTGTCACGTTCTCATCATTGTTGAGGTCTTGCGTTCCCATGACATACTCTGACACCTCTTTAGTCTTTCCCACTTTGGCGGAAAGGTTGGAATGGAAGAAATTGATTCTGTTGACAGAAGTGCTTTGTACACAAAACAAGTTGAGATTAGTAGTATCTGTAATATACTGTAAATTGTTTGTCACGTGAGCATATAGAGAAATTTTGGGAGCCAGAATTGTGGCTGCGTTGTAGGCAAACAAATACTTGTTTCATTCAACGACATGTTTGTAACTTTTATTTGATGTGTTTTTTTTCTGGATTTTTGGTTGATATTCTGTCTCTCTCCTTTAAAAATAAAACTACCATAAAAATTAGAGACTGCTCCTTTCTTTGGAAGCGAGCTAACTTACAAATTCAGTACTGGATCAAATAATTATTTCCCCCACTGTATGGATAAGAATTTCTGTAAAAAGTAGGGCTCTGCCGCACAAGACACTGGCCTGTGAAGGAAATTTCTATTGCATCAGCAGAATGAGGCAGCCTTGTTACATTACCTTTCAGAAGGCTTTATTCTTTCCGTCCTTATCTGAGGCATGAAGATCAAGTATTACTCTGGAGTGAGTAAGCTTGAAGAATCTGTCTCGATCTATAACTAGGAGCCAGTAAATTTAGAGCATAGGTTATCTGAGTCATGCTGTGAACACAGATATGCTGAAGAATGATTTAAGCTGGTGTTTTTAATGTTTGGTTTTTATGCTACCTTCAGAGATAAACCTTTGCAGGTGGTTTGTGTGCTTTGACATTTATTTATTTATTTATTTAAAAGCACCTGGTTGCCCATTTTCAGCTTGATGTAGCTTGAGGACCACCTCTTTGGTGGTCTCAGTCAGTATTGTCCTGTTTTCATGTTTCATCCAAAAAAATGATTTCAACCAGTTTTCAGTATGATTGAAATTTAATTGACAGAGAACAAATTGGGATCAATAGAAAGACCAGGATGTCATCTTGACAGTAAAGTAGGACTCGTATAGATTGCATTCATGGTGCTTGATGTAGAGGTCTTAGACTCATATCCCTAACAGAGGACAAAAAAAAGAATTGCTGAGGTTTTAGGAGGATATAAATCAGTTTTAAAAACCATCCCAATTTATTAAACCTTAACTAAAGAATAAAGAATAAATCCCAAACTGAGAGAAAAGAAAAATGGGACATGTGCTACAGGACAAACAGCAATCTCCTTTCTCTAAATAGCTTTTTACTATTTGGTAGTTCCCACAAAGCTACCACTGTTTGAAGGGCATTTACCAACATCGGGTTTGGAACATTATATCAATTCGTTTTAGAAGCTTGAGTGAGTTAAAGTTCCCCCTCAGGGAGAATATTGCAATAGTAATTAAATAATTAAGCACACAACAAGGTAAAAACCAAAGCCTTAAGATACCAGCACACCAGCTATAATCCAGCATATAATCCATCATGTTAAAGGGTACACAACTTTACTAAAGAACACACTAATCTTCATCCCAAAATGCTTATTTAATAAACCAGGACACAACCACATTCTCAATAAAGACTGGAAAGACTGAACATAGTGGATGACAGCTCCAGCTCAGCCGAAACCAATATAAACACTGGATCAGTAACAACAACTGGTTCAAGTGACACTGATGGTTCAGAAACAGCATGAGGTGAACTGTGATGCTGGGTTTATCAGCAAAGTATGGATTATGTACAGTTTAATCCATTAACATCACAAGAAACACACAACACTGCCTGTAACCATGACCACCACTCCCTTGTCATCGAAACCATCATCAGGACACAGACAGATTTTTCACAGTTACAAAACTGCAGAACCTTAAATGTAACCTGAAAAGGGCTCTAAACCAACATTTGGGCGAATATTGGGGCAGCCCTTAAATAATCCCCCTGTGCAGGCCAATTTTAATGAAGACAAGTGAATACATTTAGCCGTCCACTTAGACTTATGCTCAGAAACACCAGCACAAACTATCAACGGGAATGCTCAATTATCGTCCTAACACCACAAAGCATACGTCCGTTTCCGTGGGCAACAGCTAAACGTCATCCTGTCACCGAACAAGCCGGGACACCAAACTTGAGCTTAATTGATGATAACGTGTAAACAGTAAGCTGAGAACGGTTAGTTTACTTACCCTGTTCTCACAGCGCAGTCAAAAACACACACGAAGTGTCTTGAGTAAAGACTTAGATTGTTTCAATGACAGCTGTCGACACGCACTACCTGTCACGCCTGTGGAAACGAAAAGCCGGGTTTTGTTGCCTTTTGTTTGGAGCGTCTCTCTGAGCTCCAGGGAGGCGTGGTGGCAGCTCTACTTGATGCCTTCAGGAGCACCTCGGACATTCTATCACCACCGTCAGAAGACCAAAAGCTTTTTTCTTTTCCTTTCTCTCCCCCCATTTTTAAATGCTAATAATAGCATCGGCAAGGTCCTACAACTTTTAAAAATTATTTTATTTTATTTTATTTTTTAAAATTCAGACATAAAAAAATACAGTAAGGATAACAACAACTGAAATAAAATTAGATCTAAAATGAAATTTTCTTTTTCTAACTGTAAAGTTTTGCAAGATCACAGGCTTGCTGCCAATGAAAGTGTTAGTTTTAATTCTGTTCCACTGCTCTAAAATGCAATTCTAGACACTTTTGGACATTAAATATACTTTACACAACCATATTCATAATGCCTTAAATTTTGCACAAGTAAATTAAGTATTAGTATAACTGCAACAAAGACCCTTTTAAGAAAAATATCTGATTGCTTCTTATACAACAAAAAAAGCAACTCTATCTGATGTCTACACTCTAAACTCTGATAATCAGAAATTAAATTGGATTTAATTTCTCAAATGTAATTTTAATTTTTGTAAGTTTTAATGCAATATTTTTTGAAAAACAAAACAATAGACAAGCTAATTTTTCCTATTGTGTTTATGCACAAGTAAACACGTTTAATTAAAAAAACAAAAAACAAATCCTTGGTTAAAATATGTAGACTGAAGCTACAGAATAATCCCCAAGTAGCACTGAAAAGTTTCATTACCATGAAGGCAGCATGTGGTCTGTGACTTACACACTGTGTGAAGAGCGCCACAAAGTGGATGTTTTTTTTGTTTGTTCGTTTGTTTGTTTTTTAATAGTAACCCATAGCCTAGGAATATGCATCAGGGGCCACTGAGATGTCAACAACCAGTAAAACATTCCGGTGAAATTAAAAGTTAGGTTAGCAAACAAACTGCTCACTGTCTTCTTGTGCTACCATGTCCTGTAATCACAAGTTACACAGTAATGTATACTCAGAGTATGATTTTAATCTAGTCCCTGTCCAGCAGTTTGACAACTTTATATTTGTACTGATAAACATTTTATTTATTTATTTTTCTTTGTAGTTCATGAAGTGGTAAATGGATAGAATGATTTTAGGGGGGAAAGGGGTTGGTTTCACGTTGTTACCTGTGCGTGGGGGTAGGATGTGTGGTCTGTCTGTCCCAAAACGCTGAAGAAAAATTGCAAGTTGTTTCTCCTTTGGTTCTTTGTCCAAGCCTGTGGCTCTCAGGTAAGAGCCAAACTGTTCTTTCCATGTCTTCCATTGTCCAGAAAGTTCGTCTAGCATGGGCAAAAAAGGCTGCATTTGAGCTGCATGTAACGCTGCGTGCATGCTGGAGGATCAGTTGCCCGCCAAAGACCAAGGTTATAATGAACATTCAAACTACTACCATGGAAAACACAAAGCAAAGCAAAGAATTTGGGCTCATGTGATTGTGTCACACTTGAAAAGGAGTGAAAGAAAATGGTTTTATCAGTTTGGGAACACATTACTGTGCTTTGTGGCAATGACTCTTCCTATATTGTTTTATAAAAAATCTGCAATTTACCATCAGTTTTTCAGTCTGGGACTTACCAGTGCTGGTGCTGTAGGTGCGAACCGTGGTGTCAATGGGAGGCGGAGAGCAGCCCGAGTCAATGGATGCAACTTCGTCGTCTTGGGAACAGCCAGCCTGGATGGCTCTCAGGTAGCTGTGGCTGCGGGATCGGAAGCACGTTGGCATGGGTAGGTCTGGAGGCTCTGAGTTGTCCTGAGAATGGGAACGGGAATCTCTAAATGTAGAATCTGAGCTGCGGTCTTCATAATGATGGCTCCTTTCTAGGTCTCGTAGCTAGAGTGAAGGAAAAACAAAACAAAACAAGATGTAGCAGTAGTTATTTTGTTCACTGAAGCTGCTCCTCGCACTCAAGGCGGCTGCCTTGAGAGTAGCTGCTAGGAGTAGCCTCTGGATGTGCAGTAAAACCACCAAATGTGTGCACTTGTGCAAATGTGTGTATGGTTAAGGGTATGTCGAATTTGCTATAAATGCATTTTTATGATGTCCAATAATGATATATTAGACTGATTTACTTTATAGGCTACATTTGTATGCATTAAAGTTATTTTTTCTTCTAGTGATCTGCACCGTTATTTAAATTTTTTTCCTCACATAAAACTGTACAACAATAATGCTAAAAACAAAGAAACAAACAAAAACAAACAAACAATAAGGCAACAGATGTGACTTTTTTCATGTAGTGACTCAATGCTCATATAAATTCATCTTTTGCTCTGACTTTTCTAAAGGTGAGTGTCAGCACACATTGGCACAATCATGTAAATGTTTCAGGTAATTTGAATTTTTCTGCTCTGGAAAAAGTACATCACTAAGTTAAAAATATAATGCATAATGAATTTGCATGGCTCGCTACTGTGCATGTAAGTTCAATCCCTAAATTGATATACTGGGCGAATGTGTTGTAATGCAGTGAGTGAGCTGTCGGAGATTGGCTGTAAATCCTGTACTAATAGCCTGCACTGCCTCATTTCACTGAGGAAGATCAGAGCCACGCTGCACAGTTGTTCATCATCTCACCGACCTTGACATTGGGAGGCTAATAGTTCTTATGTAAGTGGACGAACTGGAAATTTAAACTATCAGTGAGATGCAGTCAGAAAATAGGGAATCTTTGTTCGCTGGGAGCTCGTTTTATTACAGCCGTTCGGGCTGTATCTGTGAAAATGTAAATTATACTAAGTAAACGAGTGTAGCTCGAGGCAGACAAAAGGGTCTTTGACTGGTGATGTGAGAGTAGAAAGTTTGCCAGGAGCCAAATGATGTAAATTATGATCGAGAACAAATGCACTCGGAACTCATTAGGAAGATAATGGAAGCAAATGAGACACAGGCAGAAATGGAAAACATTTTTTTAACCTCTGAAAGATAAGAGACGCCACATTTTCCCTGTCAGTCTTCCAGGAAAACACTGACCTGTCCCATGCGCCTGCCCAAGGTACTGCAAGCCTGGCTGAAGTCATCGTCGTCCCATGGTGGCAAAGATGAGCCTATACTCCCGATACAGTCTAGGTTGTCTAGGCTGCGATTATTGGAGAACTCTCTGAGAGCTGGAAGACAGCTGGGAAGGGAAGTAACCAAAAGATATCCTTTAGGGATATGAAGTCTAAGTAGAAAAACTGATGGAAAATGATTGTAAACAGGATATGTTGTTGCTAATGCACGATGACAGAGAGGCAGAAGGGAAAACTTTGATCAAGGGAGAAAATGAGTGACCAGCAAAACCAGAAATTGAAAGAGAGATAAAAGGAGGACAAGTTTATTATTGAAGTCATCCCTTTAATTCCCACTTTGATGCTCCAAATCTCATCTCTGTTTCATCTAATTTTAGCATTAGTCATTTTAGCATCCCAGCATGCAAAGCCAATGATGTCAGGCGAGGCATGTACAGTGCACAGCGTTCTATGCCATCATGGTGCCAAGACAAAACATGTTTAGGTTTTTATTAAGCTAAAAATAGTATGTTATACATGTTCTTTGTTGGCACACAGTGATAGTGACATGGCAGTAAAATGCCATGGCAAAGTGTATGGACACAGATGTCCCCCTCATTCCCTAATTTGAATAGTGTTGAAGCTACTTTCCACCTAAAAGCACTGGACAGATGGTATTTACAAGCTTACGGGAGGTTAGCAGTTGTTGGCAGCAGGACATGAATTTTTGCATTTGGAGTTTCCACTTTCAGACATCTGAGGGGGGCAGTGCAAAGTCACTGATCATAGACCAATCCGATCTGAAGTGTTCTGCACCGCGCCCCTGAGAAGTGACTTGCAGACCTATCACTAACCTGCTCATTGACCTGCCCAGCTGGTGCAGAGAGGACACACTGTGGAGTGGAGACCACAGGGCATCTAGCTCCCCTTGCAAAAAGGTGTATTCCAGGGTTCTGCTGCTCACGCCAATCAGGTAGGCGCAGAACGGAAGAAAGTAGGGTTGGACGATCAGGAATTAGCAGGGGGGTATTAGGATAAGTCATTCAAGCGTAATTCTAGATTTTTAAATTGCTCGGTGTGTTTGGTAGGTAAGCTGTGCCCATGATTATCAACACCCCCCCCCCCCCCCCCCCCCCCCCCAACCTGCCTCTGATCCAACCAGAATCATAAGATACCTCAAAAGGAAACTATACAACACATTATTGCATCAAGGTTTGTGTCATGTATGTATCTGAATGTAATAGACACTGACAAAAACAAGCCCAAAATACACTAAAGTTTGTCAAAGCATGATAATCTGGGGGAAAAGATGTTATCGCGGGGTATTAAAATTTCATACATTTCTCTAACAAGTCAATATTTGAAAAGTTGATTATACATTAGAAAGCATGACAGCTGTGGCTTAAATTAGTGTAACATCGCTGTGGATAAAAATGAAACAATATGACTATATTTTCTGGCCTTGCATGAAAAGGCACAGTCAATTAGCAATGTCCCACTGTGCTTGCATCACACATTGTGCAATGCTTTGCTCCAGAAACCATGTCACTCAGAGGCAAGTGAGCCACAATCCCACTTAGTCAAAGCGATTGGGCTGATTTGTGCTGATTTACTGGCTGAACGCAAGCAAAACTCAGTGTCGTATTGTGTAAACTGCACTATTGTATAGCGTATTATCTTAGTGACGCTTTCTATGGCCAATAATATGTAGGTAAATCACAGCTGAGGTATGATAGTAAGAGTGACATGTGGACAGCAGCAGGGAGTCTGACACCACTTCTATGCGTGAGTAAGCGCAGCGTGGACTGTGTGTACACGTGTGCACTTGTGTGTCTGTTCTGAGGCTGGGCTTCAGTATGTATCCACAGATTTTTTTTTTTTTTACTGTTGTTTGATTGTTAAGAGCTTTTGCCAATCAGTATTTATAACAGTGTGTTCTAATAAGTGTTTTGGGCGTTCTCTGAAAATCAGCAGATTTTTTTTGGGGGGGGGGGGGCTACATACATTTTAAAGGGCCAATCAGTAACTTTTCTTCTGACTATAGTCATGCATTAAAAACAACATGTTGTATTTTTCTCAGCTTATCATGACTGTAGAAACAGACATGGTTTCTAGTTGTTCTCATGAATGGTAACCATACGCTTTCTTCTTCTTTGATCCTTGTTTGTATGTAAAGGGTTTCTCCCTTATTGTTTATGCTAATGTGTAATAAACCATAGTTCAGTTTGTGCCCTTACTTGCGTGGGGGAAACTGGTCACTCAGAGACTGCTGGGTAGCCCTGAGGTAGCTCTGACGCCGAGCAGCAGTTTTTGGTGAGGGTTTGGGACTTCCCTCAGAGTCATCGCTGTCTTCCATGTCTCCCATTGCCTTCACATAGCTACCACTCCGCATCCGCCGGCATGGGATTTCATTGGCACCCCCGCTGCGACCTAATGAGCTGCTCCAGTCACCCTATAGCCACCATTAAGTGAACAAAATGAGTCTTCAGTCAGTTTTTAACGATCTATGTTGTTATCTAAGCACTGAAGTGTTTCCCTTGATGGTAATAGCTTATATAAACATACAGTAAACACTCAACAAATAGACAGAATATAATTTTTTATCCACTCTACTTTGTGGGCTACTCACCCTTCTTCCAACCTGTAGGTAGTTGCAGGTTAGTTCTTGTTGACAGGACTTGGATTTGAGCATGGACCTGTCCAGTGTAGCTGAGCCCTTCTGAATAACCTGTCTTGGTTGACCCATGGTTAATGTGGACCATGACCCTCCTTTCATATAGTCACTATCATTCATCATCAAACCTCCTGGTCCACTTAATCCACCTAGTCCACTTAATCCACCACCTCCTCCACCCCCTGGCCCAGGAAGTGCCTGATACTTTAAGTCACTGCTGCTTTTAGATGAGCTGATAGTGTTGTAGCCACTGTGGATGTATCTGTTCTGCCCCCCGTGGCTGTCGGGGCCAGATGGACGCCCGAGAGTCATCATGGCCATGGTGTTGTGGTAGCTGCTCAAATCGCTGCTGTCCAGATCGTCCGAGCTCCAGTAACCCGACATGTTGGAGCGTGGCCGTCGCTTGGCAGTTGCTTCTGATTTTGTACCCCGATCTTTACTTTTGGCTCTGCGATTGTGCTTCCCTCCATCCTCCGTACTAGATGAACCTCCTCCACTGCCGGTCGACCGTCCGTTAACATTTCCTTTCATGTTGTGGCTCTCCAGGGACTGCGACTTCGCAAAGAGCTTCTGCACTGAGTGCAGCATGTAACGAATACGACCAGGACTGTCCGTACGCTGCTTGGCAGCAGCAGCAGCAGATGTTCGGTGAAACTGCAATGTGCTGAATCCATCACGGCCGCCAGGTAACTGTTTATCAAACTCAAGCAGACTTGGTGGGGTCTGGTTCTTGGTCATATGATGTGATATTGTTGCTGAGCCACTTGTAATCATAGGTGTTCGTGCGCTCAGCCCTGCCATGCCCATGCCCATTCCCGTCCCCATGCCCATGCCCATGGACATGGAGGTCCCCATGGTCCCTGTGCTTATTCCTCCGATACTGTCCCCAGGAGGAGAAAAATCAGACTGGTCATAGGAGTTGTAGTGAATCCCAGGAAAGGTGCTGCTGTTGGACAGCTGGTTGTTGAGGGGCAGCATGCATTCTGGTGGAAGGGAGCTTGGGTTGGCTGAAGAGTAAAGGTGGGGGTCCATGGTGCCATAGTGGTCCATTGTGGGACTCAGCAAGTAAGGGCTGCGAGGAAGTGTGGTGGTCTTATGAGAAAAGAGGGCCTCTGAATGGTCTGCAGAAGTGTCGCAGGAATCAGACAGGTGTCTGCTGCGGTTGGTCCCTAAGCCTTTCATGATGGCGAGGAGGTCCAACCCTCTAGAAGACCTCCAGGCCAGAAGAGAGATTCTTTTGAAGATATTTCCTAAAAAAGAGAGACAAACAACCCAACAAAAAAGACAGAAGGAAAAAGGTTTAAGAGCTGATTAATACAGCACTATACAAAACACATAACACAAACACTCAAACTCAACCATCCATATCAGCTTGGCCACACAAATACGCCCACTTCTGTGCTAAACCAGACTAAAACAGAGTAGCTGGAAGGCATTTTTTTGTCTGTACAGTGAATGAGCCAGCTTCCCACTGTCTCCCACAGTGAACATCTGTGTTAAAATGCTAGAAATGGATAGAAAAACAACACGTTAAACAAAGGCGCGCAGTAGCTTGTGGGTCAGGGCATAGATTATCAGTAGGAGAAAAACTGCTGACAGCGCTGAGTTCCTCGAGACGCCTCTGCATTTATGTGGGTCTTTGCAGCTGCCAGCGAACAAATATCTCCTTTTTCTGCCTAATCACATTCAGAAAAAAAAGGTCAATCATCATTGCACAAACATTTCCTTTCATGAGCACCCACAAACAAATGCACACATGAGAAGATTTGATTTTGTGGCCTTTCCTTTAATAATAATAATAAAAAAATCCAAAACATAATATTACACACTTAAGGCAGTTTAAAAAATTATAGTTAACAACACTACCTGCTGTCTCTGGCTGACTCACTGTATCTCCTCCAGGTAAGTTGTGATACACAATGGCCAAATCTCTGTAAAAGCCCTTTCTTTCAGCTTGTATCATTCTCTCTTATTCCATCTGTTTCTCTTTCCCTCTCCTCCTCCACTGTCACTTCTCTCTCCACTTCCCACCTCCAGTGGGTATCCCTGGCATGAGTGATGAAGCTCCTGTCCTAGCTTTGCATGGTGAGCCAAGGATGGTGGGCAGAGTGTCATAGTGAAACCAGTAAAAGAGGATTTGACCAGTGGGCGGCGTGCGGCAGGAGTTGGCAGCTACAACTTCTTGTCCTCCTAGTCAAGCTGTGCCAATGCCCTGCCCGGCAGGGCAGCAAGAATGGCGCTTCTCGTCATGGACCATGAACGATTATAATGAAGGGATATCATGCAAAGGTGATAGTGACAGGTATTAGGCTTGTTATCCTGTGTGGATATGTAGTTATTAATAGCTGAATAGTGTAATTATTATTACTCAATTTCTGCTAACTTTTTAAGCCAAAAGAATAGTAAACAAGCCCACCGAGCATCTGTAAATACATTACATTTCAGCTTTTTAAAGCATGCTGCTTCCTTATCTCTGCTGGTGCAGTCGAGTGAATTAATAACTGGAATAATTCTTTGTACATTTTGGCAGACAGCTAATAAACACGTACATTTCTACTGAATTAATTGCCATTTTCAATAAATACTGTTAGTATATTATGATATCACGCTGTAAACTGGAGGTAAACTGGGATAAAATATGGATGTCTTAATGTTAGAGACTACCTCCGAAGCAGATGCAAGGAAAACTAATAATACTGTTAAAACTTAATCTTATATTCAGCACAGTACATTTAATCTTAATTACTTTCAGACAAAGTCAGCTCTGCAGGACAACAACAGTTCCCTGAAAATGTATTAACTTACAGTCGCTCTGCACAAACGCAGACTGCTGTTTGCTACGGAGGTTTTGGGTTCGGGCCAGATAAAACCATCACTCCCTCATTTGAATTTTAGTCAGGTACTCACATTCCATAAAAAACAATCGTCAAAATAACATTGCTCTTTAATTTTCATCATTCACAGTTTCCATATTGAGAAAGCTAATGTGAATTGTCAGCCTAGCAGTTAATGGCTTTTTATACCACTTCCCTATTCATAAAATTTGAAAGTCAAATTGGAAATCAACCACCAGACCAGAAACAGACATTTCTTCTTCTCTGTCATAGTTTCTATCAATCAGACAGTTTCTTTGGAGAAATGGCGAGGAGATATTTGCTATAAATCTCTATTATCACCTTAGGAGAGCTACAAACATGCATAAAAATCAGATAATGGCACAGTGCAGTGTGAGACAGGCAATAAGTGATGACAAAGCAGCTCACCTAAAAATTACACCTCATTTGAAGGGCAATTTGAGTTGATTACAATTCATTGTTTCAGAGAAGGCACCGAAACATTTGGTGTTACTTCACCTTTAAAAGTATGCACCACGTTGACACACTTTTTGCAATTAACTATTTGCCAAAAAGAAATTGCAACAAAAAAAATCTCCATATAAATTATGAACTGGTTTTATTTCCACCATTATTAGCATGCTCCAGGCACAGACTCATTTAGTGTCATTAACAGAGCCTTTCTGAGTGCCATCTCCGCTGATAGGGTCAAATCCTCTAAATCCTTTTACACCACATTAGCTAACTCATATCCTGCCGTGACATGCCACTCAGCTAAGCTTAGCATACCCTCCTCAGTGTGTCAACCAATATGGCTCAAACTGACACTGATAGCCGCATTATTATTATGTATTGGAGGCAACGTGACAAATCTGTGTGCCTAAATGCCCAGGATCTCAAGCACTCTAATCGAGGATATGCGGTGAAATACACACAGCAAATTTGTCTGCTAATTGACATTTCCTGTATGTTTTGAGCAGACGATCATTGCAGTGCATCCGTATTTAACAAAAGTGCTAATGAAGTGTTTATTATTAGAAGGCTTGGTTTAAATAGGGATGCTTACCAGTGCATGTCACAGAGGCTTATACTTTATAATGACATTAATCATTCAAGTTCAAGCTATAGTTCATTCTGTGCTACAGTGGAAGAGTAGATATTATAGTTAGATTTACATGGAAACGTTGGGTAACGTGGTGCCTTGAGTTCACCATCATGACTCAATGGGACTGGTAGACACTGCATGTTACTATGACTGTCATTAAACAAAATAAAGCTTGGCAGAGAATGTATATATGTGACATATAACCAGTGATGTGAGTGCTTATGATGCAAACCTGCCACAACTTTACTTCACTGCGTGACAGAAAGGCGAAGAGACAATTCAACCCTCAGACATTGGAAATTAAGGAATTTAGGTCAAGCCTCTGTTAGCTGGGTCCTAGACACGAGTCCGCGTGTGTGCGTTCTTGGTATTTGTGTGCTCCGAGTGTATACTACTGGTGCGCACACAAATGCATGAATACCAAGAATGTTAATGCGCTTGTGCTCGTGTGTGCTTCTACACCCTTGAGCGTCTGGTGGTGGCATCTCCCTGCCTTGTGCACTGGGGAGCTGCCATCTGCTCTTCCAATGGGAGAAGGAGTGTTTGGCATTGTGTCCAATTCATGACCTTACTCAGTTTCTCAGCCATCACAATGTCAGGGCTACAGGCAATTCACAGTGTCAACCAGAAGAGGGCGACACACTCAACACAAGCTGTACTGGTGTTTCTGCCGAGTTCCATTATTTTTTGATGTTTTTATACAGCATGTGGAAGTATTTATCCTGACAATTCACTTGTTCAAGTCAGAGCTAACAGAATAATTTATCTGTTGCAGATTTTTAATGTGTCAGTGTGATTCCGGACAATGTGTGTGGATTTCAAATAAAGATAAATTCACAATTAAACACTATGGCAGACCTGCTTAGGGTGTACACCAGCTCTCACCCTGTGGTAGCTAGGATAGGCTCCAGTCCCCCAATAACCCTGAATCGGATAAGTGTAAGAGAATGGATGGATAGACAGATGAAGGACTGGTTGGATAATTTCAGGAACCTACTGTACTTCAGCTTGGATTCTTCTGATTCAGGAAGTGTTAACTTCTTTTTCTGCTTCTTCTTTAGGTGTCGCCACAGCGGATCATCTGCCTCCAACCTGCCCTATTCCTAGCATCCTCTCTGACACCAACCCTCTGCATGTCCTCCTGTTCCATCTTCAACATGCTTTCTTTGATATATCCACTATCCGTCCTTTTCCCAGGTTGGAACTATCTCAACCTTGCCTGTCTGTCTCCAAATTGCTCCAACTGAACTGTCCCTCTGATACACTCATTTCTAATCTTGTCCATCTTGGTCACTCCCAATGAAAATCTTAATATCTTCAGCTCTTCCACCTCTAGCTTGGCCACCAGTCTTTTTGTCAGCAGCAGTGTCTCTGTACCAAACATCACAGCAGGTCTCACTAAACCGTCCCTTTCACTCTTGCGGCTAGCCTTAATACACTGTAAACCTACTTATGTGTTTATGTTTTTATCTTCTGTATTAAGAGGTGGGTTTAAGTATAAGTAGTTTAAGTATAACAAAATCTGATATATAAATAAAGTCGTCACTGCCATTGCCATCCTTCTGTCAACAAATAACCACTCACACTGATTTTTAACCCCTGTACCCTGGCTGTCTTCTTCACCTCTCTTCTGCACTGTGGTTGACCCCTGCCATTTAAAGTCATGCACCTTCACTGCCTCTGCTTCACTACTTGGAGGACAAACTAAACAACATCAACACTCATAATGGGGTCAGAGTGTGCTTCTCCTGTCTCTCCTTTACTTTCTTAATTTTTATTCGTCATCTCTTAATGATCCTGATACAGATTCATTGGCAAATAGCTAAAAATTGGCCAATATGCCGGTCGAGTTATATTTTGTGCTTTTCATTCATGGAATCGTGGGTTTTAAATTCAAATTGTTTAGACTTCAAATGATGATTTAAATGAAGATGAAAACAACAACCAAGACATCTGAAACAATGACAATAGTTTTTATGCTTGAGTTCAAGATTTTATCTTTAAGACAATTATTGTCACGGTCCGGGGCAGCGGCCGTGTGGAGAATGGAAAGGAGGACTCAAAACGCAGCACTTATTCAGGTGTGAGGGTGATTTATTGATAATATCCTATATAAAGTGGGGATGGTAAAACAGAACTAAGGATGAACTAACTGGGAGAAACTACACAAAGAAATAGCAAACCTGAGCATGAAGGGAGACCAGCAGGGAGAGCACGCAGGGGATTACACCAGGTATGAACACAGACGACGCGACGAGGAGCAGAGGAAATCACACACTATAAGTACACGAAGAGACACTGGGAAATCACA